CCAAGACTCACGCTCTTTAATTCGTAAAACGCTTCTGAGTCGTACGGCGATGCGTATGGACCCATATAAAGCATGCACATGTGAGGGCTAGATGCAGAGCTGTGGAGAGACTGGAACTGCCTGATTACAATTTTTTAAATTCTGTGAATATAAGCAGTTTAATATGTGACAGAAGGCACTTAACATCCAGTGTGCACACACATTCCAGACGCTCGCATGAGAGGCCCCTCTTTGTCCTGTGCCTCCAAATCTAACAGATCACTCCAAGCTCCAGCACCATCTGCACCCAAATAAAAGGCACATGTTCTAAAATTTACTGGGTTTAAGAATTTCATAAGGACATGATATGAAAATCATAATTCAACCCATTGATTGAAAAATAAAATATTATTTTATGGTTTTATTTTATAAAACTATGGATTAAATTTATAGCATGGTGTGAATTGACTTCTGTGTAACTAGGCCATTGAGAACTTCGGTTGTTCAGATAGTCAAAATCCTACTTCTGTCTGACCTCCAAGGAGCCTCCTTGTGTCTGAATACATTTCTGATCAAGTGGGAAAATGCCGTGATGTCCCAGTGTGCCTGCATCCTTCAGGCTAAGACTGCGAATCGTTCTCTTCTCCTGATCTACAAATATAATCTAGGGAGCACCACCGTGGGCTTTCTCACTGTGAATTACGCTACTGTCTGTGACACAACAGTGATTAACAGATGAGCTCTAGTAGCACAAATGTTCCCTAATTCTGCAGTTTTGGGGGGTGAAGTCCATGTCCTTTGGAAGCAAGAAACAGAGCTGTATTTTAATTAATCCCAGAGAATAACAACCCATGATAGATTCCTTTTGACAATACAGTATGAAAATGGAAATTAATTGAACGGTATAATCTGTCCTACATCATGAGGCTCAACTGGATAAAAATTTATGCTGAAAATAAAGTGAGAAATTACTTAACTTTGTACTCAGACACCAGCCATAAACCCAAATAGACTGTGGGATTGAATTTCCATTCTTTATATTCTCGTCTTAACACTTTTGCCCAACATTCATTTCCTAATATTTTTCTTGCTCTTCCTTACAACCCTTTGTATCTCCAGTCACACTAGCAAATGAAAAGTAAACATTTTAAGTGTAAAATTGAACTGATACTCTTTTGTCTTTGGGCCTCTTGTGCATTTTTTAAAATTAAAGGTGGAACATGTTGGCAAGACCTACACTCTTGAGTATCTTTTCTTTCATGTAACTCTAATGCAGCGCTATGCCTCCCTGTACAAGCACTGAGTGGCCACTAGCCTGCCTCTTTTTTAGAGTGCAGTGTACATACTTTCTCTTTTAAATATGTTCTTGTGGGTGATGGTGGTGCTGGTAGGAATTAGTTTTATGCTAGGAACATACATTTTTTTTTTTGACATCATCGTGGGGTTTTTATTTTTTAAAGGAATAAAAATTAGTAAAAACAATAAACCCCTAGAAACAATACAGAAGTTCACTAAGTAAAACAATTTATATTCAAAAATGCTT